CAAGAGTCTGTCTTTAAAAAAAAAAATGATGAAAAGAAAGAAGTTCTTGATAGAGACACAGAAGCTATGAAAATTACCAATGGGAATTCTAGAACTGAAAAAAATATTTCTGATGTTTAAAAGTGTAATGAATGGACTTAGTAGCAGAATAGAAATAACAAAAGAAAGAGTCAGTGAATTGAAGACAGATAAATAGAAATTAACCAGAGGACCCTGAGAAAATGGATTAAACAGAATGAACAGAGCTTCAGGAACCTGGGAGACAACACCAGAAAATCACGTATTTTTGACTCTGGAGTCTCAGAGGGAAAAGAAAAATTGGTACAGATACAAAAAGTTTTTAGAAATAATTGCTGAAAACTTCTTAAATTTGATAACAATATAAATACACATTCAAGAAACTCAGCAAAATCCAAACAAGATGCTCAGCATATCATAATCAAACTGCTGATAACCAAAGATTTAAAGAATCCTGAAAGTAGCCAGAAAAAATCCCCAATACATTAGGTATAGGGAACAACAATGTGAATTGTGGGTTATCTTAGGCATATAATGAAACATTGCGTAGGTCAGGATGCAGTGGAACAATATCTTTAAAGCATTCATAGGAAAGAATCATCCACCCAGAATTCTACACCCAGTGCCAATATTCTTCAGGAATATAGACTTCCTGAAGAATCCTAAAATGTCCACAAATTCATTGGAGATTCTGTTAGAGACAGAATGCTTGTTCCTAGGTACCACAAGGAAAAATTAACATTCAGACAAAAGCAAGGCAATTTTGTTTTCTGAAGAAAGAGTACTACTCTCCAGCAGTCTTGCCATGAGAGTATGATGAACAAAGGAAAGGCAGGCATATTTATTCCTTACACATTGGGTCCTTATTGCTGTGACCCATCTCCATTAGTTGGAGCCAGACCTCACAATCTAAACTAAACCCGACTGGCTAACAAATTAAAACTTTGTTAAACAGGTAAAAGCAATGGAAAACAAAAGGAAAAGAGAGAAAGTTGCTTGCAAAAGGACTTAGAAAAGTAGTAACATAAAAATCTTGGTTAAAGTACAAGGACATAGAATGTAACACATGCCTGTGAGCACGTCTAGCACAAATATCTTGGTTAAAATACCAGGACATAGAATGTACTTATTCCCTTATATCTAACATCTAAATAGGATAGGGCTTAACCAAGAGTTACTAGCAAAAAGCAAGAAGGATTTGAAGAAAGTTAGTCTTTTTTTTTTTTTTTTTTGAGACGGAGTTTCGCTCTTGTTACCCAGGCTGGAGTGCAATGGCGCCATCTCAGCTCACTGCAACCTCTGCCTCCTGGGTTCAGGCAATTCTCCTGCCTCAGCCTCCTGAGTAGCTGGGATTACAGGCACGCACCACCATTCCTAGCTAATTTTTTTGTATTTTTAGTAGAGATGGGGTTTCACCATGTTGACCAGGATGGTCTCGATCTCTTGACCTTGTGATCCACCTACCTTGGCCTCCCAAAGTGCCGGGATTACAGGCATGAGCCACCGTGCCTGGTCCAGAAAGTTAGTCTTTAAAAGAAGGTATTATTTCTAATATTTATTATATTCTTTAACAAGAAGGGAAACTTTGAAGAGGAACTTTTTATTTTCTACAGTCTCTTCAGAAGCTGGAACCTAATTACCTTCCCCTTGAGTGTGAGCCAGAATTAATGACTGACTTCTAAAGAAGAGAATATGTCAGAAATGATTTCATGATTCTGAAATTTTAGTTAATGGTGAACACCAGTCCCCTGACAACATGGTTCAAATTTGAGTTATCAGAGTATATTAACTGTAATTGCATGAAGTTCAAACTTTCTGCTAGCTCCTCAGTCCACAAATCACTACATAATATCAGGAGCATCGTGATCAGTGACCAATCATGTTGTTTCTTTCCAAAACCTGTGGGTGATTGGTCACTGTGTTCAGTTCACCCACAGACAGCAAAGTGTGAATAGTGTGGCCTCCTCGTCTCCCAGTGATAAACCCACATGGCATTTTACACAAATGGATATTCAATAGAGAAAACTGACCAACAAAGATAGATGTGCAGCAAAGAAACAAAAAACTGTAAACACTGAAAGTGAATGCAAATCAAACAGAAATGGGGTCACTGAAGAAGCAGACTATGGGGATGTGAGCATTGCTGCTGAGGTGAATTCATCAAATAAATGAAGAAAGCGGTTGTGATGAAAAAGATGAAGATGTCCCAGAGGAAAGAACGTCAGCAAAAAGCTTCACGTTAAAGGGACTTGGAGACATTTCATGACATTGAAAACAGAAAGGATAAAATATTGGAAACTGATCCAAACTTAGAAGGGGCATGACAAGTTTTTGAAACACAGAAGGAGCTTGCTCCATATCATAAAGTACATGATTTTTGAAGAAGGCAAACATTGTTCAAATGCCTGTTGATATGTTTTTTTAGGAAGACATCAAACACTTTAATTCCCAGCGTTGCTAATATTTTAAATACAGTATACAAAAATATTAACTTTATTGTTTCCTTATATATTTCTTTTTTCTTTTTTGAGATGGAGTCTCACTCTATTGCCAGGCTGGAGTGCCGTGGCACAATCTCAGCTCACTGCAACCTCCGCCTCCCAGATTCAAGTGATTCTCCTGCCTCAGCCTCCCAAGTAGCTGGGACTACAGGTATGCACCACCACGCCCAACTAATGTTTTGTATTTTTAGTAGAGACGGGGTTTCACCATGTTGGCCAGGATGGTCTTTATCTCTTGACCTTATGATCCACCCGCCTTGGCCTCCCAAAGTGCTGGGATTACAGGCACGAGCCACCGCACTCGGTCTTCCTTATACATTTCTAACAGTACAACATTATCAATGTTTTGACAATTTTCAAAAGACAGCAAAAAAAAAAAAAAAAATCACAGTTTTACCCACTGATTCTTGTTAATAGCACAGGGCACAGTTTCAATGTGGAAGGTCATTTTTACAGTTCTGAATTGCAGTGCAAAGTGAGAACTGTCTGTCTTATGTTGGGAGACTCTGGGTTCTGCTGAAATTCCCTGAAGAATTTTTTTTTTTTTTGTCAGGCAATCAACCTCGTTAGCCTCAGCCCACGGGTCCTGGGTTGCCTTCTGTTTGGTGGTGGTCAGAATGTCAGTTCAGAGTATGGCTGTGCTGCTTGGGTTCTGCGTCTGGTATGGGCAGCTCTGGGCTGAGCATGGAATTCAGCTCATGTACAGAATTAGAGAATCCTCTTTTCAGGTCTTTGCTCTTCAGGATTTCCCCCCAGACTCCCTGGCACCCAGGGAGCCCCTTTTCCTCACCTGTGGCTTAGAAAGATGGGCTTTCTCTCTGATGATTACCTGCCTACAATGCCTGCTCATTTTGGCAAAAGGAACACCCCTCAGGCAGAAAGCAGAGAGGAGAAAAAAAAAAAGATGTATTTTTCCACATTCTTCAGACCATAGGGTCATTTTTTCCTGCTTCCTCTGGCTGGAAAGACAGGTTTTCTCTCAGGGGTGGAGGTCACTGTGCCACTTCTTTGGGCTTGGCAATACTTTTCCATGACTAGGGTCGTCTTTAGGTCAGGACTGAGAGAGAAAAAGTTTAAAAAAGAAAAAAAAGACCCCAGAAATTATAGCCACACTTTCTAGCTTGCAGGGGCCCCATTTACCAGAATGTTTTAAGAAAGTTCCAGACTGTTTTCCTATCAGCTGTATATGAGGATTCCCGTTCCTCCACATCCTTCTCAGCAAACAAATTAACCTTATTTGGCATAGGATTTCTAGACCTGTAGGTTATGGAAATGTCACAGTATGTTTTGAGGCCAGTAAGAAGTTCCTGCGTTTCTTATGAGAATCTGTAGCTATTGGTCTCATAACAGTAAAGTGAATTTGTGGCATTAAATGAAAAAAAAAAAAAAGGCAAATAGTATGAATTAAAAGTTCTTGAGGTGTTTGGGCTGACAGATTCATCATCTAAAAAGTGGCTTAAGATTTAGAAGGCATAGCTTTAGCCTCTTTGTCTTCTAAGGGCAGGCTATCTTCTTATAGGACAGGGTATAGCAAGTCTTACCAAATATGTAATAAACGTGTTGTTTAGGGATACTCAGCATTCCTTTTCCCTTCCTAAAGGTACGCAGCTTTGTCGGAAATTATGTATATTCATCTCTGAGAGGTCTGAGAAAAAATGAAAAAGAGATTGTGTATAGTTTGGTGAGACTGTCAATCCAGGAACCTGTTTCCTCATATTAAAGTCAAAGAAACTACACTATTTTCACTGCCAGGCTGGTTACTCTTTACCTAAGTTTGGTTCATTCTACTCTTTTTTTCCATGACTTTGAATCTTGAGAAAATGACTACAGGATAAGATTGAAATTCATTCATATCATCTACAGCAACCTAGCTGTATTGTTACAAGTACCTGTCAATCCTAGTTCTTCAACTTTCATAAACTCATGAGTTCCTATCTTTGCAATAAATGACTTTTTTTTTTTTTTGAGATAGGGCCTCACTGTTGCCCAGGCTGGAGTGCAAGTGGCATCATCTGGGCTCACTCCAACCTCCACCTCTTTGGCTGAAGCAGCCTTTCCACCTCCGCCTCCTGAGTAGATGGGACTATAGGTGCAAACCAGCTAATTTTTGGATTTTTTTGTAGACAAGGGTTTCATCATGTTGCCTCAAGAAAAATGTCAGGATATGATTAAGTCTATCTTTTAACAGTGACATGTAACTGATTTAAAAATATTATGTAGTGCTTCCTAGTTTAACCAAACTGGGGGGGGTGTTTTATGATGGGCTGTCTCATGAATAACTGCCAAAATCCTTGCTTCTTTTTTTTTGAGATGGAGTTTTGCTCTTGTTGCCGAGGCTGGAGCGCAATGGCGCGATCTCGGCTCACTGCAACCTCTGCCTCCTGGGTTCAAGCTAATCCCTGCCTCAGTCTCTCAAGTAGCTGGGATTATAGGCATGTGCCTATAATCACTGATTTATTCATATTTTTAGCACAGACGGAGTTTACAGGTATGCACCCAGCTAATTTATTTTGCATTTTTAGTAGAGACGGGGTTTCTCCATGTTGGTCAGGCTGGTCTCGAACTCCCAGCCTCAGGTGATCTGTCCATCTCAGTCTCTCAAAGTGATGAGATTACAGGTATGAGCCACTGCACCCGGCTCAAAATTGATGCAGTAGATGAATGCTGCAGGTCCCTCAGCTCCCAGATTGGGCCAACTCTCCTTATACCACACCTGGGACCTGGGAAGAATGAGGAAGAGGCTTTTTTTCCCGGAGAATCCAGCAAAAATATAGAACGCTTCAGGAATCTCCGCAAGGAAGAAACTCGAATAGGGCAGGGTTTTCCCAGATTTAGACTATCGCTCCACCCTAAGGACGGAGTATTGCAGTAACTTTCTCCCTGCTTTCCAAAGGCACTTGCTTCTTCCTGGAGCTCTAGTCAACCCTGACCTCTTCCTTTGGCACAAAGGTCACAGGCCTGAGCCACGTCTCAGCTGTTTCCAGAAAAATGACTGTGTGCTCCCACCTATATTTGAAGTCCTAGACTCCTCAGAAGTCAGCTTCATGTGATCCAGGCTACTCAAGCCTGGGACTAGAGCGTTTTCATATTCTGGTAAGAGAGACCTGCTGCTTCTGGAAAGATCTTTATGGTTTACACAAATGCAACAGACCACTTAATAACAGCTAGTTTGTAAAGGTACATCTTTACGAGAATTCCTAATAATTTAAAAAACTCATTTGATTTATATCACTTTGTTAAATATAGTTTACTTCAAAAGATAATCCTGAAAATTCCATCAGGCAGTGTTTAAAGGATGACTATGAAGTTTTAGCCCTTAAGAGAGAATATATATTCAACTGAGTACTATCTTTCAAAGCAGTACGTCAATGTTTGTCCATTGATTCCATAGCAGCTCCTGTTGCCCATCCTGCTTGAGAAGCCTCTTGGAGAGTTGCCTAGAGAATCTATAGCCCTCATCTGAAAGCCCTCCATGACAACTGTTCTCTTCCATATATTTTTGCATCAGCCCAAAGCCATTTGGACACAAATTTTGTTAAGAAAGAAAAAAAACCAAAACAAGCAACAACAAAAAAAGCAGGCAGTGCTGCATTAGACTGAAAATAAAAAATGAAAACTCTAAGAACCTATGCACCACGAGGGCAGTATTGGTTGCTTTCACCTATATGGTCTCTTTTGGTGATCTGCTGACTCTTGTGAAACAGTATCCCGGACAATGACCCTAACTTAGAGGGCTGAGAACTGTCAAAAGTGATGCTGTTTATAAATGGGTGTGGTCTGACTGCAAAGTGCATGTGGAATTCAACGAGATGGGATTACCATCCCCACTGCAGAGGACAGTGTGATCTGTGGCAGGAGGGTTGGATAGGCTACTTAGTTACACAGGTCACATTGATCCCCTTCTCCTCTTTCTTTTTTCTATGCAAGTATACAATCTATTTGTCTATATGTTTGTCTACCTTGGTAGACTGGGCTCCTTGAAGAAGGGATTGCCTTTTCTTCATCTCCATATCCCCAGTAGCTCACCAATGCCCAGTATACAACAGGGGGTCAGTTGTTGGTTGTCTTATTTTCTTGTTGACTCTACTCTGACCTTAGGATATGTCACTTTCCCCTCTTGACCTCCACATTCAGATGTGTTAATAAAAGTGGATAAAGGCCACTCTAGCTTTAAAATCCCACCAATACAGAGAGAACTCTGAAGCCAGAAGCAGAAGCTGAGGAATGGTGAATAGAGCATTTTCTCTCATATAATGGGTATTAGGGTGGTATCTTATCCCCCGAATGCCTCTGCAGAATTTGACTCTAGTTTTTCAAATTGGACTCAAGAATGATCTTAGTGTTGGTGGTTTTCTCTGAAACTCTGTTATTGACAGAACAGCTTCCGGAAATCTGAAAAGAAAAAAAGGTAGTTTATTTATTAGTTTGGAATATGAAATGTATTTTGTCATGGTGCCCAGAGTCCAGATATTGATCTCCATGGAGCTTTCCTATCCTCTGCTAATCCTGATAGCAGCAGAGCCTGAAGACCAAAACACTTCTTAACTGCTGACACACTGCTGCGGTGTGGTCAGTTACTGACCTACCATTTATGAAGCAGGCCTACAGATGTAACTGTGTGTTCTTCTGGGTAATTTAAATTGACAATTAATTAACAGGTTAGGGCTGGTGCTAGGTAAACATTGTAGGTTCGAATCCCAAGTGTGGATTAATTTGCTGTCTTCCATAAGACTCCCTGCTTATCTCCCGCCTGCTGGTCTCCCAACATATGCTAATGATTACATGGGCAGGATTAAGGTCTCTTATTACCTTGTTGGAAAAACTGGAAACTCACCTGTTATTGCTGGTAGTTAGATACCTCAACTAAGTAACATATTAATTAAAGATATTAGGCTGGGCACGGTGGCTCATGCATGTAATCCCAGCATTTTGGGAGATCAAGGCAGGCGGATTACTTGAGGTCAGGAGTTTGAGACCAGCCTGCCCAATATGGTGAAACCCAGTCTCTACTAAAAACACAAAACTCAGCCAGATATGGTGGTGTGCACCTGCAATCCCAGCTACTCTGGAGGCTGAGGCAGGAGAATCACTTGAACCTGGGACAGGGAGCTTGCAGTGAGCTGAGATCGCACCACTGCACTCCAGCCTGGGCAACAGAGCAAGACTTCTCTTGAAGAGAAAAATAAAATAAATGCAAAAGAAAAAAGAAAAAGAAAGTCCCCAACCATCAGTTGTCATATTGTGACCCCCAAGAAGATGTAACTTTTTATTAAATTTTAAATACAGATGTTTATTTTTACCTCAATATTTAAGCAATTTAACTTCAACCAACCCCTTAATTTGAGTTACGGATGCAGAGTATATAAATGTTTGTCAAACATTTTGCCTGCCATCAATAGTTACTCAATAAATAGATATATTTTTAAAGAACACACAGCTAAATAGGGCAAGTAAAGATAATTGAGTTTTATGTGTTATGATACAATAATGAATTTTAAACTTTTCAAAAGTACAATAACTGGTCTAGGTTCTCAAGTGTTAAGTCTGTACAAATACAGTTTCTGGAACTAACTATATAAGCCAACATTTATTGAGCATTTGCTGTGTGGTAAGCACACAGATGACCTGATTTAATACTTATAATAACCTGGGATGTTAAGTACTATTAATATGTTGATTTTACAGATGATAAAATCCAAGGTTCAAATAGGGTAAACATTTTTGCAAGGGCACAGATTCATCATAAGATGGATTTTGGGGGCTTGACTCCAGAACTTTAGAACTCTATAATGTAATAAGGTGAAAACAAATTTATTTCCAGAATTCCAGATACTGGCACTAATGCATTTTTTTAAAATTATAAGCAAGAGTGTTTAAAGAAAAGGTAAACGCATGGAATGCAATGTTATAAATGAAAATATGAGTGATGGCCAAGCGCAGTGGCTCATGCCTGTAATCCCAGCACTTTGGGAGTTCAAGGAGGGCGGATCACCAGGTCAAAAGATCGAGATCATCCTGACCAACATGGTGAAACCCTGTCTCTACTAAAAAATACAAAAATCAGCCGGGCGTGGTGGTGCGCTCCTGCAGTCCCAGCTACTCCGGAGAGGCGGAAGAATCACTTGAACCGGCAGGCGGAGGTTGCAGTGAGCCGAGATTTCGCCACTGCACTCCAGCCTGGTGTCAGAGCGAGACTCCATCTCAAAAAAAAAAAAAAAAAAAAAAAAGAAAAGAAAATACGAGTAATTACAACTACTGCCCCTCACTTTGTGAACCTGCCTTGGGTTACAGAAGGAAATTTGGATATTTCTGGATTTTTGTCTTGCTTTTTAATGGCTAACTGTATTATTTCTTTTATTTTTGAGACGTAATCTCACTCTGTTGCCCATGCTAGAGTGCAGTGGCGACATCTAGGCTCACTGTAACCACCTCCTGGGTTCAAACAATTCTGCTTTAGCCTCCCGAGTAGCTGGGATTATAAACGCACACTACCACGCCCAGCTAATTTTTATGTTTTTAGTAGAGATGGGGTTTCACCATGTTGGCCAGGCTGGTCTCAAATGATCCACCAACCTTGGCCTCCCAAAGTGCTGGGATTACAGGCGTGAGCCACCGTGCCCAGCCTGTATTAATTCTAGATAACATGTCATGCCGGCTTTGTGATTAATTTTGTGTATAGGTGAGTGGCATAACTTGTCAGTCTGCTTTTAAATGTAACTTCTTAAAATATCAGCAGCATTTATGTGTATATGACACTGGCTTGCGTTTGAGGTGGATATCAGAAAAGAAAGCAGAAAAACCCAACTTGCCTTTTTCACCGGGAATATGGGGGCTTCTTTGGCCAAATCGTGTGCGTGCAGGATCCATGTGCTGGGCAGCGGGTCTCAGGGCCACAGCCTGTGGGCTGCATCCTGCTCTTCTACAGAGGCTTCTCCAGAAAAAGAACAGATGGAGAGGTGAAGATAAGTAAAAGCGGTATTTTAAAACTTTTAGAGTGCTGGGTTCTAAATTTATATTCTGAAAGACAATCTCTTTTTGAAAATGTTTTATGCAAGTCTAATATACATACAGTATCAACCTCGTTTTAGAAGCAATTACGACAGAACGTTGGAACAGAATTCACGTAATCGACCTCCTTCCAGAAGCTGCTACTAAATCAACAAGATTCAAATCCCTCTCCTTAAGAGGAGCAGCGCGAGCCACTGCAAAGACGCACGTTTCAGTCGGGCCATTCCGCAGTGGGAACTAAACCGAACGCAGGCTTTCCCACGCTTCAACAGACCTGTGATCTCAAGACAGTCTCTTCCGTGACGTGGAGGCACTTCGGACTACCTGTACCTTCAGACATTATGGTGTGTTTGGCCATGTCATTTGTCACAGGTGTAAAAATCACAACAATCGAGAGCCCGAAGCTGCTGGGATGAGCACCTGCGGCAGAATCGCGCTCCCGCGCTCCTTCCTGCTCTTTCCAAGAAGACAGGCGTGGCCGTCCAGCATCCCGCTCCCCCGGACCCCGCAGTCCTTGTCGGCAGGAGGCCCGGAGTGGTGCGAGCCGAAGGTGGCGTTAGAAAGGCGGCGTCCCGACCAGCAGAGTGACTCGGCCTCCGGCTCCCCCTCAAAGCGCCATCTTGTCGCCGCTTCCCTCAGGAGAAGACGAGCTCTTCCCTGGGACCTGCTTCGCGGCTTCCCTTTGCCCGAGTAACACCGGGCGGGGGCGGCGGCCTCTCTGGCCCTGCCGGCGACAGAGCGCAGGGAGGGGAGCGGCGGCAGACTGGCCTGAGGCCGGCGGGCGGGCGGCCTGTAGCCTCCAGGCGCGGCCTGCTGCGGCCCAGGCGCCTCCTCGATCCCGCCCCTGCCCGGCTCCGGACCTCCGCCTCTGCCGCCACCGCCTCCGGGAGCCCGGAGCCGCGTCCCGCCGGCGCCGCCTCTTCCGCCTGCTTGCCGGCGGGCCTGCGCGGGTCTGGGCGGCGTCCGCGCCGGGCGGGTCCGCTACGTCAGCGCCGCCCGCCCGCCCCGCCCCGGCCCTCAGCCTCGGCCTCGGCCTCGGCCTCGCAGCGGCGGCAGCGGCGGCGGCGGCAGATCCCTCCCCAGACATGGCCCTGGGAGGCGGCAGCACATGGCGGCCGCGGCGGCCATGAGCGCGCCCCCGACCCGCCCCAGTCCCCCCTAGAGGCCGCCGCCCCCGCCCGCCCGCCCGCCCGCGCGCCACGGCCCCACCGCCCCCGGCCCCGCCGCCCCCCGCCCGCACCCGCGCCCGCGCCCCCGCCGCCGCCATGGGCGTGCAGGGCTTCCAGGACTACATCGAGAAGCACTGCCCGAGCGCTGTGGTGCCGGTGGAGCTGCAGAAGCTGGCCCGGGGCAGCCTGGTGGGCGGCGGGCGGCAGCGGCCCCCGCAGACCCCGCTGCGCCTGCTGGTGGACGCCGACAACTGCCTGCACCGCCTCTACGGCGGCTTCTACACCGACTGGGTCAGCGGCGGCCAGTGGAACCACATGCTCGGCTACCTGGCGGCGCTGGCCAAGGCCTGCTTCGGCGGCAACATCGAGCTCTTCGTCTTCTTCAACGGCGCGCTCGAGAAGGCCCGGCTGCACGAGTGGGTCAAGCGGCAGGGCAACGAGCGCCAAACGGCGCAGCAGATCGTCAGCCATGTCCAGAACAAGGGCACCCCGCCGCCCAAGGTCTGGTTCCTGCCGCCCGTCTGCATGGCCCACTGCATCCGCCTGGCGCTCATCCGCTTCCACGTCAAGGTGAGGCTGGGGATCCGGGCGGGCCGGGGACCGGGGGCCGCGCCGCACCCTTATCCCCTTTCCCAGGGCGCAGAATGTCGCCCGGCCGTGGCGGCGCGGGGGGCGGCGAGCTCCCCCAGCCCTGGCTCTGGATAGCCGGGCCGGGCCGGGCCGCGCCGCAAGATGGATGGCCGCGGGTGCAGGCCGCGCGCTGCCCAAGCCCGCCTCCAGCTGTCCCTGTTCGGGGTCCACGGCAGCGTGGGGACACTTGAGGGCTGGAAGAGAGCCGCCCGGGACCAGAATTCGGAGGCAGCAGTGTCATCTTCCCCAATATCCGTAGTTTTTCCCGTCCTTTTTGAGGCGGGCAGGCTATCACTCACCTTTAACTTTGACAAAATACTCCCTTTTCTAATTTAGCCTGTTCTTTCCCAGCAACAGGTTCATCTTGGAAGCAGGCAGGATACAGAGTAATAGAGGGGGTTTCGCCGGGGCCCTTGGGGGCTGCAAGTATCAGTGCTGCCGCCGCCGCCCTTGCCAATGTTGTTAGCCCGGTGACAGCGAGACGTGTCTAAGGGCTAGTGCCCTGCCCGTATTCCTCTTAGAACGAGGTGTTTAGAGATCTTTCTATGGCTTTTTGTGTTAAGATTTCAAAGAACCGTGCACTTTGACAGGATGGGATTTTGTCAGTTCTGTGACTTCAAGTCCGTGTGAAAGAGGTCTTTAAGGCAGTTCAGTTTTGTAGATCCCATGCGAAAGGAGTCACTCAAAGTCAGGGGCCGAGCCACGCGGGCGTGAACTCGCAGGATTTATTTTTCGGGTGCACAGTAAGTATTCAGTGACCTTCAGCGGCGCCCTGACGGGTGGGTAACCAGAGCTCTACATCACCGGCCTCCTCTGGCCCTTTGGCAGAGGGCTCCGCAGCTGGCACTGGGCCTAAGGAGAACTTCAGGACCCAGCAGTGACTGTGAAGATAAGTACATACATGATCCTGGACTTCACGTTGTGATTGCTTGCTTTTTTCATTGATTTTCTTGAAAACAAAATTTGGGGAGGCTTTTTGCTGCCTTAGCTCTTGCCATTCTATCTTCCATCTTGTTATTCTTTGACATTTCCTTGAAACTGCTGGAGCTGAAAATTTGTGAAATTCCGTCTTCGCGGTTGCCCCCACTGCCCCGCGACGAGATGGTGGTAGTTAAGCCTAAAATGATAGCGGAAGTCCCACCCAAGATCTGGTTGCAATTGGTGAGATGGTGTTTAAGCCGTGGGTGGAGGCGGCCGGCAGAGTCCCGATTGGCCCCTGCGCCTGGCAGACACACAGCTGCCAGTCCACAGGGAAGTTCGTGTGAGAGGAAGTGCCTGCCTCTTAAATCTGGGGCGCTCAGGGAAGTAAGGTGCTGCCATTTGTCGGAAGTGATCCACCTCCCGAATAGAGCGTAAAAGTGTTCATAGTTTAGTCTTGCTCAGAAATGGAAAAGACTGCTTAAAAGACAGGATGAGCTGTACTTACTTGCCTTTGATAACCGCACATCTATCTACTTAACTAGTCAAGTAACTTTCAAGGGAACACTGTTGACTATTACTTAGGATTAGAATTAGTATGTATGCATATGGTCACTGTATCGTGAAAGAACTGTTTTAATTCTATGATTTCTTTATCTCTGCACCCCTTTGAATGCCTCACACACCTAGTAGGTGCTCAGAATTCTGACCAATGTGTAACTGTTTGGAAACTAGATTTAAGCTACATTTAAGATCATCTTTTCCACTTAGGTTTCTGGACACTGGATAACTTTGTCTATATTTTGCTTTTGCTAAGCTTTTATTTATTGATCTAACATCATGTTATAGTGTGCATTGCACAAAATGAATATTGTAATGACTCAATTACCTGGTGGTTTCTTAGCTGGTCACCTTACCTTTTTGAAAAGTGCCTAAGAGATTTAGCTACTAGAAATTTCTCAGTAACCAAACAAGATGTCAGGAAGTTTGGGTACAATGATGTGGGGTTGGCGGGGGCGGGGGGTTTGGGGGCCTTTGCTTTCCCCACTGAAGAATCCTTTACGCTCTCTCACTCACGGGCTGTCCTCTTTTTAGATGTAATTCTAACAAGCTTAGTTATCTATTTTCTAAACTCAACTTGAGAGTGAAGAGTGTTCCAGAGGCAGGAGCACCGTTAATAGCAAGAAGTGACAAGAGAGAAGATTTAAAAAGCTATAAAAAGCAGAAATAATTCTGGGGCTATTTTAGGAAAAGGAACACAACTCTATGTACTTCACTAGTCCCTGAGGGTAGTACAGTGTTTGTTCTGTAAGGATGATTTTGAGTCAGAAAAATTTATATTCAGCATTATCTGTTTAAGGTCTTGAAACTGTACTGTTTAATAAAAGATGCCCATGAAATGGTTAAAACATTTAAAACCATGATGAGGTATCACTGTGGGCCTATTAGAATGGCTAAAAGAAAAAAAAAAGCAAAACCAAGTGCTAGCAAGAATGCTGAGCAACTGGATCCTTACACATTGCTTGTGGGAATGCAAAATGGCATTGCCACTCCAGAAAACTGTCAGTTAAGTTAAACACATTTATCATACGATCCGGGGTATTTTGAAGACTTTTGTTCATGCAAAAATTGGGTCTCAATGTCTATAGCAACTTAATTCATAATAGCCAAAACCTAGAAACTATCAAAGTATTCTTTAATAAGTGAATGGTTAAACTATGGTATAGCCATACTATGGAATACTACTTAGCAATAATAAGGAAGGAACTGCTGGTGTAGGTAACTACTCGCATCAATCTTTAATTAAGGTTTTATGCTGAGTGAAAGAAACCAGGTTCAAAAGGTATAAAACTATAGTGATGGGGACCAATTCAGTGGTGGTGAGAGTAGAGGAGGGGAAGGATATATGCATAAAGGGACAGCAGAGAGAGCTTTTTGGAGTGATAGTACTGTTCTGTATTCTGATGGTGGTGATGATACCATACATAAAAATCAAAACTATTCATAGAAACACGTTAATTTTATCATATGATAACTTTTTTTAGAATTAAGTTAAAATCACTGGCAAAGGAATTGACATGAACACTTCAGTATATGTAACATTGGGTAAATGAGACATTTATAAAAACTGAACGATCTTATTGGTGCTTTCTAGTGTTTTGTACATTGGCAGAAAGGCATAACTTCCTGTTACCCTTGCCTAGAAAAATCTTTTTTTTTTTTTTTGATGTGGAATCTTGCTGTCACCTGGCTGGAGTGCAGTGGCTGGCACAACCTTGGCTCACTGCAGCCTTCACCTCCCCGGTTCAAGCAATTCTCCTGCTTCAGTCTCCCATTGAGATTACAGATGGGTGCCACCATGCCTGGCTAATTTTGGTATTTTTAGTAGAGACAGGGTTTCACCATGTTGGCCAGGCTGGTCTGGAACTCCTAACCTCGTGATCCACCTGCCTTGGCTTCCCAAAGTGCTGGGGTTACAGGTGTGAGCCACTGTGCCTGGCCAGGAGAAATTTTTTTTTGATTTAGAGAGTATTTCTTTTACAGAGTAATAATTCTATTTTTTGTTTAGTAGTAGTAATGGTATTTCTTTAAGCATTAGAAGTTGGTCTACATGGTAAGAGAGCCAGAACAATGAAAATAATAATAATACATGGGCCTATGTATTGACTAGTTTTGTGTAGGTCCTGAAATAGCCTAATTTGAACTTGGCTTTAGCTAGTTACTTGGACACTTTCCTCTTGTGTGCTTTGGGTCGTTATAACCTTTGAAACTTAAGTGAGTGACTTCTGTTTATTTTAAAATCTTAGTGACGTGAAGTCACTGGAGCTTTCATAAATGTTTTTGCTATTTCACCAGTATCAGTGTAAGGGTTTATAATGAAGTTCTTCAGATCTTCTGAATTTGCTTCCATTGGAATTTTGTTAAATAATGTTCTTACATAAAATGGCGTTCATGCTTTAAGTCAGTGGAAGAATGTGAGGTTAGACTATGGTTTAGAATTTTCATGGTTAGCATAATTACATGTTGGTATTTAGAGATGATGATCTCTCTTTATGTATAATTGATGAGGGAGAGAACAAACTGGTATCAGACTAGGTCCTTGCTAGGTTCTTTCTCACATATACCATGTCATTTAATCCTCAGAGTGCTTTGTTACTCCATTTTACATGTGAAAAAACAGGATCTATTGATTAAGTGACATCTGGGGACAAGCCATTAGTAATGGCAAGACAGAAGTGAAGTGCTAAAGTCAAAGTTCAACTTCTTTGTATTTTGTGGGTGTGCCTACCTACAATTTACCACGAGGTCAATTATAATAGCTAACTGCTTCTACTGTGTTTTCTTTTTTTTTTTTCCTAGTTAGAATAGGAAGAGCCAAGTTTCTATTCAGAAGAAAAATGTCCATCAATAGACCCTGAACACTGACAGTATATCTTATATTTAAGGACCTTTAATTGACTAGAAGATTTTTAAGGTTCAAAATTGGCCATATTATACCTCAAACTAGTCATTGTATATATTTCTCTGTTGTACCACTTTTGTTACTAGT